GCCAAATCAAGAAGTAAATGAAGTGCATGGAATTAAATCAACACAACTTCTTCCAACATTAAAGACTAATACTCTCCACAACTTCCATCCAATACTTTAATTACTTATAATTTTAAGGAGAAAGATAAAGAAAACTACTCAGAATTCATGGAAAAAATAAAGTTAATCATTGTCAAACCAACAACAATTCTCCATTAAAACCAAAAGTAGTCTAGAACAAAAAGATAAAAACTTATCTCAAATCCTCCACCAAACTCTTGATGTTTCTTTGAATCTCTTCTCTTTTACAACACTCTTACTCTCAAAATAAACTAAAAACAAAAAGGAATAAGTAAATTTGTGGTGCCTGAAAATCTTTCCAAAACTATCAATCTTTCCAAAACTATCTCTACAAAACTATCTCTAAAACTTCTCAGAACTCCCCCTTTCCAAACACTTTCAAGACCCTTTTAAAAGTCTCAAATTCCTTTTTTTATTAATTTCCAAGAGGTGCCTTGGTAAGTTTTCAAAATGTGTCTAAATTAGATGAATTCTCCAAAGGATGCCTCCTTCATAAGTCTTCTAACCATATTTTTGTTTCTAGTGGTCATAACTTAGCCAATATGTGCCTCAAATGTTCCTTCAAAATTCGGCAAAATGAAGTAAACCGTCACATAACTGCCTGTGGTGCTTAAGAGCGGGTCCTCTGGCACTTAGGCGTGGACTTCTCTATTCTACCGACGCTTAAGTGTCGGATCTGACGCTTAGGCGCCGAAACACTTTTGTAGAATTTTCATATTTTTTCTCCAAATTTGATCCTTTTTCACACTTTTTAACATTTTTCACCTTTTTTTACTTGTACCTGAAAGAAAAACACACAAATATCTTTCATTAAAGCATAATATCTCAAAAATAGGTGTAGAAAATGTGTTTAAAAATACTATATATTTTAGGTATATCAACAATCACACTCAATTCTCTCTTAAAAATGTAATGAAGAAGAAATCTCTCATTTTCTCTTTCCTCTTACACTCTCTAAAAGAAAATCCTCTCCAAAACCTAACTCTTCTCCGAAGACTTCACATGCCATCCTCAAGACAAGACTCCCTAAAACTTCTTAAAAGGGGCGCCAACGTCTTCTCCAAGGATATCAAAATTCCCGCCTTTTTCCTAAGATGCACACCTCTTCATTTTAAGAGGCAAATATCTTCTTCCAAAAGACATATCTCTTCATTAAAGAGCCTTCCTCCAATGTCTATATAGATTAAACCACTCCATGGGGAGTTTGAATTACTTGGAGCCTTCTAGTTACTCTAAAAAATAGTCAATAACTGCTAACAATTTATATTGATTTGTCTCTAACGCTTCTGACACCTGGCGCCTCTGGAGCTTGTTCTAGTGCCTCTTTACTAGAGTTTCGTGCTCCTTTCTAGATCATGGCACCTCTGGCGCAAGTATGCTAAAAAATTTCATTAAAACTCCAAATTTCTTTCTTTATACTCATTTTTGCTCCAAATGCCTAAAATCAATATACCTGCAACAAAACATGAAAATACCATTCTTTAAAGTATAATATCACCAAATTTGAGCATAGAATGTATACATAAAATTGCACATTTTTTTTGGTGCATCAATAGACCACAAAAATATGACTGATGGATGATTGACTCTAAGTTCTCTATTCTTGAAGAATTCAAGAAGTTGTACGACACTTTCCCTGCTTTCGAATATCGTGGGGAATCAAAGGGCGATAAAATGGTGGATGACGAATTTTCCAACACTCATCCTAAAGACCCCTAGAGACGGCCTCTTATTTTTCCTTTTCCTTTTTTTTAAAGAAAGTAAATATATTTAATTTTTTTGACATACATCCATCTAAATGAAACATAATATTTAGACCAGTTGTTACTTGTGATTATGAGATTGACAATGAGGTAGTTGCTTCATTTACATAATTCACCCTTTTTTTCTTTAATGTCAAACACAATTTAACTTAAGAAAAACAATACTTTAAAAAACTTATATGCTTATAATTTGCTTTTGGGTGTCGTACGCAGTTTGTATCTTGATAACGTTTAATTAGGGTGTCATCCCATCCTTTTTTTCCTACCCCTGAGAGTTTGTAATAGCCACTGCAGTTTTTTGAACATCAAATTATTCTTCAACAGCTTTACAACAATTTTTTAATAAATTGTTGCTGTCCCACACAGACCTTAAGTGGCTTATATAGTTATTTGTGAATTTCTTGAATACGATACTTACTTTAGCATGGCTATCCGGCTGAGCGAATGAGAGAGTTGATGGTCGAGACCATTTTTGGGTATACTACCTTAGGCCATAACTGACTCCTAAACACTTTGCTGCAAATTTAATATTGGAGAGATGACATTTGACTAGATTAGGGAAGTTAGATGGAGATGCTTCAGCTATAGCCACATCCGCTTCGAGCATAGAAGGGACATCATTTGGCTGGAGCGGGGAGGTCAAAGAGAGGTTCTACATATTCAGATGATGTGTTTCTCGAGCAGAATGAGTGAGAAATTTTCATGTGTGAAAGAGGGGAAGAGCTTGTTTCATGTAAGAGAGGAGACAAAAGGCTTTATTCAGTGTATTTGGAGAAATTTAGGTTCAAAAATTTTAAATAATAATATTTGGGGGTTAAATATGTAAATAATTATATTTAATGTGCTATCTATGTAAAATTCAGGCATGATTTTTATCAAATTCGAATGATTTGATTATTTTATGCATAAATGGATGAGTTGGAATATTCAAAAATTAATTGGGTTCTAGTATTTTAAATTGCAATATGTATGTAATCATGCCAGAATAAGATTCCCCTTTCTGCACAAGCTGGAGACAGACTATTCTCTCGTTCACCTCCCAACCTACCCATGGCCGACCCAAATCACTCCACTGGTCACCACGTAGGTCTTTCCCTCCGCCTCCTGTTCTTAATCCTGATCCCACTTCTCATAGCCTTTTTTCTCGCCACCCAACTTGGCGACTTAGATCCGGTGCCTTTTCCCGGAGACTTCGACTCATCGGAAATCTCAGGAGTGGAAACGGAGCTCCGGGTGGTCCTCGGCAAGAGACCGAGCGAGTAGGCGATGGCGATGGGCTACTCCCGGGACCCGAGGATTTGGCCTATGATGAGAAGGAGTGGTTTATATACACCGGTTGCAACGACAGATGGATTAGGAGGTTCCTGCCGCCGGCAAAGGCCTTTGAAGACTGGGCGTATGTCGGCGGCCGACCGCTTGGTGTTGCTGTCTCGCCTGATAGGACTATTGTTGTCGCCGAGGCTTACAAGGTCGGTTGCGCGCGAAAAAAATTTGGGTACATAAGAGGCACGCAGCGCTACGTGCGATAGCGAATCACCAGAAAACACGTCGATTTCGTTGGCCCCACCGCTATAAAAATATACCTCTTACTGTGCGTGACCCGTCGACCCGACCCATCATTGTAACCTCTATGTAAGCCCGATGTAAACTCCGCTGTCCACCTCATGTACCGCGCTTGTAAGCCCCATGTAATCCCAATGTAAACTCCGCTGTCCGCTTCATGTACCGCTCTTGTAAGCCCCATGTAATCCCGATGTAACCTCCGCTATCCACAAAGGATGTAATCCCGGTGTACATTCCGCGGAAACGTCATTGTAATCAGCGTGTACCAACGTTGTACATCCGGTGTAACTTCTGAATGCGCGTGTACACCGGATGTAATCCCGGTGTACTTCTGCGGTAACGTCCATGTAACCCCGCGGTAAGGCATCAGATGTACACTTGATGTACAATACGTGTAACGCCAATGTAACCTCTGCTGATTGTAACACACGTGTAAACCGAATGTAATGTCATTGTAACCCAAATGTACTGTCCATGTACACTCGAAATGCGCTTGTAACCCGGATGTAACTGCAATGTAATAGCGAGTTACGCATACTAGAGCGCGGGAATCACGGTATTTAAGCAGCTAGGGTTACTGTTCTATTGTTCTATGCCCATCAGGGAACGGCGGCTTCGACAAGCTGAACTTCATGAACTTGAAGATAGAGTATGATTCCAAAGATTGTCAGTTCATGTACGATGTTGAAGGAGAAGCTGGGAGTTATCCTGCCAGGGAAAATGAAGTGGAACTTAAATCGGAGGTGTGTATGGACATGTAAATTTATTATACATTCTAAGTGTGTTATTCAATGTTGTTTGTTGTGAAGGCCTTCTTATTTTTGAACTTATGTTGGTATAATTGCATGGTATTATGCTTAACACAACAGTGAAGTCAAGTTTGATGTAAATATTTAAAAAAAATTACATCCAGGGTTTAGGTGAAGTAAAATGGTTGTTGTTAAGGCTTTCTTATTTTTGGACTTATGTTGGTAGAATTGCATGGCAATAGGTTTAACACAACAGTGAAGTAAAGTTTGATGTAAATCTTTTAAAAAAATTTTACATCCACGGTTAAGGTGAAGTAAAATAGTAGGTTTTATTTTTTCTTTTATTATATGCAGTTATTATAAATTCTAGGGTTATTTTCTTTTCCAGCTTGGCGAGAGCAAATGTAGTTGTTCCGTGCAAACAACGAACATATTACGCCAAACAATGATCCACAATGAGAAAGAAGCTTATGAAGTATATTGTGCCTATGCTCATCATATTTGATTTAGTGTTCGTAAGGAGCACGCTACGTTTTGGCCTAACTCCAGAAATATTAGAACGAAGGACTTCATATGTGGAAAAGCAGGTTTCAAGAAAGAGCTCAAGATTACAGAAACTGTGAAGTACAAAAGAGCAGAAACAAGAACTGGTTGCCCTGCAATGATTCGATACGAAGTTGATAAGGACGGCAACTGGGGAGTTAAAAAACTAATAGAATCACACAATCACTCATTAGCAAACCCCGGCGACAAACATTTGCTGCGTTCGAGCAGAAAGATAAGCGAAGTAAATGCAGATGTTCTTAGATCTATGACTCACTCTGGGATACGGCAAAAAAACACATTTAATTTTCTTGCCCAAGAAGTTGGTGGTGTAGAGAACCTAGAATGTACAAAGGCAGATGCTTTCAATTTCATTCAAAGAGAGAGAAGATTTAGAATTGAAAATGGTGATGGCAACGCTTTACTACAGTTGTTTACAGAAAGACGTTCTGAGGATAGCATGTTTGAATGGGACTTTGAAACTGATGTGAGCGGCAGACTAATGAGTTTTTTTTGGAGCGACGGAACGTCCAGGCTTGATTATGACTGCTTCGGAGATGTCATTATTTTTTATACAAGCTACAGGCTAAATAAATATAACTTATGTTGTGCTCCTATTGTTGGTGTTAACCACAATTGACAGAACATTCTCTTTGGAGTCGGTCTTTGTCAGAGAAGACGGTGGACTCTTTTAAATGGCTTTTTAAAACTTTCATCCGTATCATGGGTGATAATCATCCAATAACAATCTACACAGATCAGGACCAGGCTATGGCCAGAGCAATTGCAGATATTTTGCCAAATACACGACATAGACT